CCCAGGCCAGATGGAGCTGAGTGAGGGCGATTAAAACCAAACTCAGTGAAACCCCGTGGCGGGGTGGGGTGAGGGAGTGGGGTGTGGGGTGAGGAGGACGAGGGTCCACACAGGGAATGGCCCTGGCCCGGAGGTGGCTGAACCCGGCCCTGCACCCCAGGGGGGGCGGTCAGGGGCTGCCCCCAGCACCCCGCCAGCCCAGCCAACACGGCCTTGGGGCGCAGGGTGCAGCGCGGGGGGAGCTGTGGGCTCTCCCCACCCGAGGAAGAGCTGGGGCGGTGTGGGGCTACCCCACGGCTGGAGATTATTGCTGGATGCTGCTGGTGAGTGGGGTCCCCACCCCGGGCATCCCCACCAGCCCGGGGGGGCATGGCGTGGCAGGAGAGGAGGATGGGGGCACCGGGAGGGGCTGAATCCCCCCCTCCCCCCTTCACTGCCTCAGCGGCCCTGCGGGAGGACCAGGGCTTGCAGGATGTCTGAGAGAGAGACAATCCCCTTGACCACGTCGCTCTCGTCCACCACCACCAGCCGGTGAACCTGGGGGGGGGGGGGGGGGGGAAGGGGGGGGGTGGGGGGGGGCCCCGGGCCCCCCGCCCCCCCCCACCTGCCACTGGTGCCCTGGGGAATGGTTACCTCGGCCTCTACCAGGCGGTTGATGATAGTTTCCAGCGTCTCGTGCTTATAACACTTGAGGACGCCCTCGAAGTAGTGGGAGCGATGCTGCAGCGCCCGTGTCACCGTCACGTCCAGGTTGTTGTAGGTCTTTTCGGCTGCCAGGTTCTGGGGTAGGAAGAGGTGTTGGGGATGGAGCCGGGTCCCGCGTGGCCCCCACCACCCTATAGTCCCCACCCCGCAGCCGAGGCTTTGCCCCCTCCCCACCTCCAAAGACCCCCCAGTACTCACAATAACGTCGAATTTGGAGTAGATATCCACCACCCGCCCTAGGGAGGAAAAAAAAACAGCTGTGAGAGGCACAAACCCGTAGTGCTGGGTTTCCATACAGCCGGTCCCCAGTACACTGGAAAGGATGTGGAGCCTGAGCCGGTGGTTCGGGGACAGCCAGCACACGCTGTGCCCTGCGCCGGGCCCTGTCCTTACCCGACTCATCAACGACCGGCAGAGCGGACACGCGATGCTGCACGAAGATGCCCAGCGCCACGTAGATGGGGGTGCTGGTCCGCACCACGGCGATGTTGTTGTAGGTGCCGATCCGCAGCTCCTCCAGCGTCTTGGCCATGAACTCAGGCTTTGGGACCTCTGCTATCTGCAGGGGACGGGGAGGGGGACAGTGCTGATGCTGGCTCGACCTGCCGCCCCCAGGTCCCGCAGTGCTGCCGGCTCCGGCCACCCCTGGCTTGTGGGGGACCTGGGCTGCGGTCCTAGGAGTGAAAGCAGAGAGCGCTGGGTGCGGAGCAGGGTCTGGGGGAGCCCCAAGCAGAGGCGGCGCAGGCAGGGGCAGCAGAGACGGGCTATGGGGTCCCTGCAGAGACCTGGGGGCCCCCCAGCACCCACAATACACCGTGAGGCACCGAAGCTGCACCCACCCCAGTGCCCCGGAGCCGGCGGTACCTGGCACACCTTGGGCCGAGCTCGTCTCAGGGCGGCCCCTGCCGCCACCACGGAACGGGGACAGGACTTACAAAGAGTTTGAGGAACTTGAGGATGCGTTTGTGGGTGAGGATGTAGAGCGTGTTCCCCGAATCGGGGTCAATGACGGGCAAACGGTGGATCTTGTTCCGGATCAGGGAGGAGACGGCGTCAAAGAGGCTGCGGGACAGAAGGGAAAGGGGGAATTTGGGCTTGCCCGGACCCCAACCTCATACCCGAAGGCGCTACCGCCAGACGCGCCCTTCCCCACAGCACAGGGGTACCTAGCGTTGGGGGAAATGCAGACCAGCGGCTTGAAGGAGTCTTGTAGGTAGACCTCTGCAGGAAGAGATGACGCTGAGGGGACCGGCAGTGCCACGGGCAGACAGGGTACAAAGCCGTAGGGCTCCAGGCGCCCCAAGCGGGTCTGGGAGAGCGGGAGGCAGCTGGCAGCGATCCCTCTCACCTCTCCATGTCTCGATTTTGTGCTCCTCCAGCTCATAGATCTGCACCTGGGCACAAGGAGAAAAACCAGGATCAACTGTGGCTGCATGCAGGGCGGGCAGAGGATGGACCCCGGGTCCCCGTGGGGACGAACTCTGTGCAGATGCCTGATCCTTACCATGGGTGACTTGTAGTAGCGGTGCAAGATGTTGATGAAGTCGGTGATGGTCAGCATGCCTGGGGGGAGACGGGCAGGGTGAGCGGGGTCCCACCAGCCCCCCACCGCCCCCCATGACTCCCAGTCCTGCTCGCTCACCCACGAAGCTTTGCTTCTTGCTGTCCCACAGTGGGGCAGCCCGCACGCCATTGGTGACCAGCGCAAAGAAAGCCTTCTTCACCTGCAGCCGGGGACATGGGGAACATCATGGGAGGGACGGGGCACCCCGTGGGGCAGTGGGGACCGCCCCGGCCCGCCACATCCCTCTGCCCCAGTTTGCAAGACCTTTACAGGGTGGGTGAAGAGCCCTGAGACCATCCCCCAGCCCCAAACCTGCCTCCTGGTCCCAGTTAAGTCCTGAGGCTCCAGCCTGGTCCCCTTTCTGTGGCCCCCCCAGCCCCAAACCTGCCCCCCCGGCCCCGGCCCACCTGCAGGGAAGTGTCGAAGACGACCAGCTTGGAGCTGGTGGGGATCAGATCATAACAGCGGTGGGACTTCATGAAGGTGGTGTAGGCGCCATGGTGGGGCTCCCCTGGGGACAGGCAGTGTAAGGTGCCTGCCAGCAGTGAGGAGATACCCCAAACCCCAGGACATCCCAAACCCTGAGACCCCAGAACACCCCAAACCCTGGGGCCCCTACCCTGGGGCCCTGGAGCACCCCAAACCCCAGGACATCCACCTCAAGTCTCCAGGACACCCCAAACTCTGGCATGCTCACCCTGGGACCCTGGAACACTTCAAACCCCGGGACCCCCGAAACCCTGGGACATCCACCTCAAGACTCTAGGACACCCCAAACCCCAGGACATCCCAAACTCTGGGACTCTCACCCTAGGACCCTGGAACACCCCAAACCCGGGACCCCCCACCCTGGAGCTCTGAAGCACCCCAAACCCTGGGACCCCCCAAACCCTGGGACATCCACCTCAAGTCTCCAGGACACCCCAAGCCCTGGGACACTCACCCCGGGACCCCCCCAGCCCAGGACAGGGACCCCCAAGGCAGCTACGGACCCCGGAACACCCGAACGTACACGGCACTTCCCAGTCCTGGGACCCCCCACACCACGGGCCCCCCCCAGACACTCCCAGTATCACCTTCCAGCCCCGGGGGGCTCAGCTCCACCGGGCTCTCTGAGGTCGGACCGGGACCGGGACCGGGATCCTGCGGACAGACATGGGTCGGGCCGGGCCGCGACCACCGCTCCCGTATACCCCGGCCCCGTTCCCTCCCGGTCCCGGTACCCCCATGTCCACCCT